ACACCTGGTGGTGAAAGCTTCTGGGAATGACAATCCAAGAACACCTAGGCTGCCCAAAGTTGGGTTGTTCTAGAGGCCCTGGAGAAGAACCTACATCTTTCTTTTACTTGAAACAAAAAAAAACTTTATCATAAAAATACAGAATAATTGAGTTAGAAAGAGCCTATAAGCCCATCAGGTCCAACCCCTTGATCAATGCAGGAATCGACATCAAAGCACATCTGACAGATGGATGTCCAATTTTATCTTGAATGCCTCCAGCAGTGGTGCACTCACCACCTCCCAAGGTAAATGGTTCCACTGTCATACTGCTCTAACAGTTAAGAGTTTTTTCTTGATATTCAGCCTAAATCTGGCTTCCTGTTGCTTGGGCCCATGATTATGTGTCCTGCACTCTGGGACGGCTGAGAACAGATCCTGCCCCTCCTCTGTATGACAGCCTTTCAAGTATCTGAAAAGTGCTATGATATCTCCCCTCAGTCTTCTTTTCTCAAGGCTAAACATGCTGAGTTCTTTCAGTCTTTCCTTATAGTGCTTGATTTCCAGTCTCCTGATAATCCTTGCTTCCCTCATCTGAACATCATCCAGTTTGCTGGCATCCTTCTTAAAGTGTGGTGTCCAGAAATGAACTCAGTACTTTAGATGATGCCTAACCTGTGCTAAATAGAGGGAAACTAGTACCTTACAGGATTGGAGGCTATACTTCTGTTAACGCAGCCTAGAATCGCATTTGCCTTTTTTTGCAGCCACATCACACTGTTGGCTCATATTCAGCTTGTGATCTACAACAATTCCAGGATCCTTCTCACTTGTAATATTACTGAGCCAAGTATCCCCCATAACTGTAACTGTGCATTTGGATTTTCTCTCTAGGTGTAGAAATCTTGTGCTTATCCCTGTTAAAATTCATGTTGTTATTTTCAGCCCACTGCTTGAGCCTATCAATATCTTTTTGAATTTTGTTTCTGTCTTCCAAGGTATTAGCTATTCCACTCAATTTTGTGTCACCTGCAAATTGGGAAGGTATTCCCTACACATTCTTATCACAGTCATTAATATGTTGAAGAGCACTGGGCCCAGGACTGAGCCTTGTGGTGCTCCACTTGTTACCTTCCCCCAGTTTGAGGGGGAGCCACTGATAAGCAGTGTCTCAGTACAATTCTGTAACTGGCTGTGTATTCACCTGACAGTTGTTCTGTCCAGCCCACACCTAGTTATCTTGCTAATCAGAATATCATGGGGCACTTTGTCAAAAGCTTTGCTGAAGTCAACATATATTACAGTGGTGCCGGATCCAAGCGGCGGCAGCGGTGGCGGCGGTAGGAGCTTGGATCCGGTTACCTAATCAAAGAATGAGATAAGATTATTAAGTTTTCAAACATATCACATAACAAATAAATTCCTCCCTCTCCGGTTACCTAATCAAAGAATGAGATAAAATTATTACGTTTTCAAACATATCACATAACAAATTCCTCCCTCTCCAGCCCTGCCTCATCCTAGCATATACAAAAAGAATGAAGTAGAACCGAATTCTTACTACAATATTATTTACAAACTCTAAAGAATACCTCAACTATACCAATTAGTTGGTCTTTTTCATATAAAATGGATGCTGCCATTCTACTATATAATTATCCGGTATCTTAATATCTATATTTTCATTATTAACATACTGCACAAATCGATACCAGCTTAAATGAAACACAACTACTGTGGCTCGACTGTTTCCTTGTAAAACACGTTTCCATCAAACGAAATACATATAAAATGAGTAATAGCCCAAACAACCTTGAGCTATTACAAGACAAACTGCTACAATACAGAATTTACATGTCTTTCTGTATCCCCTCAAAGAGGGCCAATAAACTTAATAATTTAGGATCTTTCACTACTTTTCTTTTTAAAATAGTAGGCAAAATCAAAGAGAGAGAAAAAAGGAAAACATAGCAGAGATCAAAATATTGTGGCATCTTAAGGACTAGCACATTTGTTTCAGTGTGAGCTTTCTTGGTTCAAAATTCATACTGCACAAATCGATACCAGCTTAAATGAAACACAACTACTGTAGCTCGACTGTTTCCTTGTAAAACAAATGTTTCCATTATGGCTACAAACGAAATACATATAAAATGAGTAATAGCCCAAACAACCTTGAGCTATTACAAGACAAACTGCTACAATACAGAATTTACATGTCTTTCTGTATCCCCTCAAAGAGGGCCAATAAACTTAATAATTTAGGATCTTTAACTACTTTTCTTTTTAAAATAGTAGGCAAAATCAAAGAGAGAGAAAAAAGGAAAAAATAGCAGAGGTCAAAATATTGTGGCATCTTAAGGACTAGCGCATTTGTTTCAGTGTAAGCTTTCTTGGTTCAAAATTCATTTCTAGGGACACATCTGAAATAAATCTCTAAGCTGCCACAACAGTTTATCCTTTGTGTTTCTCACTCTTTTTAATTTTCTCCTCTTTAATTTGAACAGTAAACATGTTGAAAAAAGACTAATATGGCTATCTCCCCAAAATAGCAGAGAGTTCTTGAATAACCAAGTGCCAAAGCAACTGGAAATTGTGTAATTTAGTGGGTACCATTAAATCCACATTTCCTCCAAAATAGATGTGACCCTGCATCCTAAATGCTAGTGATTTGAAGTAGCCTACTATACTATTTGTGTAGTAATTTTAATTAGTTTTCCAGGGTCTGAGCTGAGACAGATACCAAATGTTGGCCTTCCTCTGAAAAGTTTCTTTGTAGGTCTGACCTCCAACTCATTTTACGTCCTTTTATATTGGTTATTGCTTTCTCAATAAAGAAATTGTACAGCCTTGATGTCAGTCCTTGAAATTATCAGCCACGTCCAAAGCCAATCAGCCCAAATTTGCATACATACAACATGTATGTGCATTAGAACAAGAGAAGTTCATTTTCACTAGAATTTGTAGAGCCCTCGATCCATTTGCATTGGTTCGGATGTGTGATTGTTTGGACCAACACAGAAAAAGGAGAATGAGCCATGCACATGCACAGACAAAGCGCTGCTTTGCCACTTCAAGCACCTTCCTTCTTGCCTCACAAGAGAAGAGGAGCTGCATGCAGACACACAAAGCAAAAAAGCCCTATGCCAAGATGTACTTTCTTTGGCAAAGCCCCTCTCCATCAGCCAGACTATTCCTCCTCCTCCTTTTCTTCTTCTTCTTAGAGCTAATGAGCAGAAAACAAATCTCCCCATCAGCAAATGTTTTCTTTCTTTAAAAAAAGAGTTGAGGAAATGAGGAAGGAAATCTTTGTTTACCCTTATTTACATCTTACCCTTGCTTGCAGCTTATTAGGTAGTTCTTTTAAAATGGTGCCACCTGCAAGGCTATATACAGAACTGCAGACAATGTGCAAACAAGGCTTTTCCTCCTCTCTATCTGTGTGGCCAGTTAGTACGAAGAGACCCAGAGAAGCCCAAATTTCCTGATGCAACTTCACAGTGAGTGACTACAAGTGAATTCACCTTTCCCTCACTCTGCTGTTGGGTGCTATAATTCGTTAACCCAAGGTACACATAGACCCATATACACCCTCACTCTGCTGTTGGGTGCTATAATTCATTACACATACACCCATATACCCCATACACACACAATTCTCCCACTTTCTGTATCTGTCTTCCTGCCCTGCTAAATCTTACCATCTGTTCTGAGTCTTTAAAAAATCCTACCTCCAAACTGCACAGTCACAGAAGCACCCCCAGAAGGAGAGAACATTAAAGCACATCCGAGTGTTGTAAACCCAGAAAAGCCTCAAAAAGCGTCATCCCAGGTCCAAATTGATCTGGTAGCATGTAACTATTACTATGGCCTTCCCAATGGAGGCTGATCCATTAAGGCAAATAAGGCAAACCCCACTGCAGCTCGCACTACCTGGCTTGTCCACTTCTGACTATCTCCTTACCAGAGGCAGAGGGCCAGGGTACTGCCCAGAAGCCTTCACAACCACCTCTGCTGACCAGGATTTCTGGGAGCTGAAGTCCAAGAACATCTGGAGGGCCAAGGTTGGGGACCACTGCCCTACAGTGATTAGGACAGCAGCTTTGCTTGCCATAAAACTTATGTAGGTAGAACATTGGGAGGTGGGGGGTGGAGCTGGCCCAATTCCATCAGCCACCCAATCTCTGACCCTCAAATTGCACTGTAAATGATCAGGCACATATGTCTGAAGGCGCCCTAAATCAGACCTTAAATCAAACATGTGGTTTGCTCCAACACTCTTGCACAGGAAGAGTATATTAATCCATTCATCAGCTTCCTTCCTTCTAGCTTGAAAAGATACCAAACTCTCTGGGCAGCTTCTGATAATCAAAATTCAGTCATTTATGGGCAGACGGCGCTGTGTGAGCAAGGGTCCTGTTTGATAACAAATTTAGCAGACCTCGGGGGGGGTGTTCTCAGGTTGCATATATCAGTGCACAAGTGAGGAATTAGTTAACGGTTGCAAAATATATTTGTGTATTTGGTCACTTCCTGAGCTACAAAGTGGTGCCAAAAGATCTGACTTCTAACTAACTGCCCGACACATGTGGTTTCTGCATGCTATGAATTACACACACCCAAACAGGTATTTGAATACTTCTTTGTCATCTTTTATTATGAAAATAGGAAAAATGAGTCTTTTTGAATGTTTGTTGTTTGTTTCTTAATGTTGCTATCATTAGTTATATTATACAATTGATGCAATGTCACTGATAATCACCTGTAAATTACTAGCAAAGCATTTGAAAGTGTTTGATGTAGCAGTTTGTAAGCAGCAACCCCTATACTTCTACTCATTAGGGGAAGATGTTTAGTAAGCAGTCATAAATACAATTAATATAAATATGATGGCTGACTTTCTGATATAGTGCGTAAGATGACTATTTTAAAGTGACACTGCCTTTTAGGTAAAATACACATGAATACCTTCGTAAACTTTCTACAGTTGAGGTGGAGATACGATAAAATGTTTTGGAATAATTTTTTAATCGTTGATCTAGAGGAGACAAAAGAGTGAAAAGAAAAGGATGATAAATCACACATAGCTGTAAAAATGGGTAACAGGTATGTTTGTCAGAAAACGTTTTCAGTTTCCTTTCACTATGAAAGCAGAACTTGGCCGATGCCAGCTTCAAAGGGTAATTCTTAAAAATCATAGCGCATGAAAGCAAATCATGCTTGTGGTCTCTTATACAAGGCAAGAAAGTCTATGAAGACAGCCTCAACTGTCATCTCTTCAGCACGTCTGCTGAAATGTAAACTTGCTGCTTCGTAGAAATGTTCAGGTATTGGAAAGCTTGTTTTCTTTATACTGTATATTTGTTTTGTTTTGGAATTTACCTACCTTTCTAGTCGGCCTTTCACATGATTGTCATTCTATAATTTCTTTGGTATGTGGTGTTTAAGATGTTGGGGCAGGGAGATCTCTCTTCAGATCTCTACTTCACTGTGAACACTCTTCTTGGGCAGTAACCATCGCTCAGTGTAACCTTCCTCACAGGGTTGTTGGAAGGGTTATATGGGGGTGGGGTGGGAGAAAAAGTGTGAACCCCTTGGAAAAAGGCTAGAGCAGAATAAGACAAATTCAAAAATAAGTAAAATATAGTGTACTCAGGTAGAAAGCAGGTAGGAGGCACGATACAGGACAAAGCCTTGTATGATAACCTGGCACTCTGCTCCCTACCCATGCATCTCACTTTCAGCCAAACTGACTTCAAGATTCTCTAAACTGGTACCAACACCCCTGCCAGCAGCACTGCTGATGTAGCCTCTGATGCTACCACCAACTCATAAGCAACTATCATTGTGTATCAGGGTGATGTATGGACACTAAAACAGGCCAGGTAATGGGGAAGTGCTGGAATTATCTTATACCACAGCATGCTAAGGGCTGTGGGAAACAGAATGTTAACCAAACAACACAACTTTCACAGAAATCTGTGAGAGAGATCCATACACTCAGTACTAAGTACTCAGTATACTAAGTACTCAGAATTTTTCAGCTGTTGAAATGAAGAAGAGCTCTGTAACACCGAATGATACGTAGCTCGTCCAATTACAAAGCCCAGGATTTCATGGGCTAGAGCTATGGCAGTTAAAGTGGAATGAAACTGGTACAACTGTCCAATGCAACTTTTTGAACTAGAACTCCCAGAATATTGTAGTCAGCATAGTTAGTGTCCATGCTGGCTGTAGAATTTTGAGAGCTGTGGCCACCCAAAAAATAGCATTTCCCATCTCTGGTCTAGAATCATGTTCAAATGTACATCTGAAAAAAAAAAATCATAAGAAATACAATTGCTTGGATATCTGTTGTATATCCTGTTATGTCCTCAAGTGTTTTCTCCTGACTTTCACGCATTTGATTATTGTAGTTATCCAACTTCCAACATCTTCCATTTTATTGTACTATTAGATGCCAACATAGAAACAGAGCAAATGCAGCAATTAGCTCATAGATTTGTGAATTATTTACAGGATCTCTCAACCCTTCCCTTAGGGAAGTCATTTTTGGCACTAAGATTTCAAACTATGCCAATATATGGAAGGGCTCTAAACCCAGAAACCAAGATCACAGTTTTTTTGTATTTGTGAAACCCAAGTAGTAGAGGACATACAGCACTATGTTACTGAATTGTTCCTTATATTCTGAACCTAGAACAAAGTTTATATCAAAATTTTCTGGAGGATATACCAGATAAAAGTGACCAAAATAAAATTATCTCTTTGTTATCTGATGCTGATAAAGCAGTGACAGAGTACCAAGATTTTCAGCAGCTACCCAAAAGTTGAGGGGAAAATATGGAAAGACTCATATAGTTAACTGAAAGGACTTAATTTTTTAAAAAATGTTTGTGCATTTTAATTTGTTTGTTCTTTGTTTTTAAGCTAGTATTTTGTGAATGTACTGTATCTGTATCTATATTTTTAATTTTGCTAGTACTGTATTATGTTTGCAAAGCTCACACTTGGCAAGTGTACATATTTCTACCTGCATTTATGCTTTAATTGTAATGCTAGTGGTGGTTGAATGACCAAAGTGGTTAAATCAAGAAAGGAAAGAAAGAAAGAAAGAAAGAAAGAAAGAAAGAAAGAAAAATGCAGCTGTGTTTTGCAGGCACAGTTGCTTCACATCTGTGTATATTTTGTCATTTATACTTTACATTTATATCATGACACTGTGAGACTGCATTAAATGGGTGGGTGAATGGAAAAATATTTCTGGATTTCAACTTCACCTTACTGGTTTAGAAACCACCTAAAAGGTAACAAAAATTAGGCATAATCTTATGAGGAGATGCTTTTTCCAAAGAGGATGAATCAGAATGATTGGGAATTGTGGAAGTGCATGGGGAGTGGTGGCTGTGGTGCAGAAAGTGGTTGCATAAAAACGTATTCACTGTTTATTGAGGAATTGTCCCTCCTGCCCTCACACTTGCTGGAGCTGCTAGCTGACACAAGCAACATTTACGTGTCAGTTATCTGTTCATCTGTCTCATCTCTGTAAACGGATGTACATTTCAAAAGTGTCAGAAATCACCGAAGATGGTAGAGGGGAGCATCAGGGTACTCATGTGCAAGGAAGCTGTGCACTTCCTGTTATTAAAAAAGTATGTTCCAGGCAATAAACTTTCTCAGTAAGACATTATATTGCCATACTTTAATATTTAAATGGAAATCTGTTTTATCTGTTTGCTCTTTTAAATAAGGTTTAGTACATATGCAGGGCTTATTTGCTGCAACTTATGGATGGGTGATATGTGTTTTCTAGGGCTTGCCCCAGAATGCGGGGGGGGGGGGCAGCCTTGATTAATGTCCTTTCCCATAATGTCTCTCATTATCATTCTGGCTGCTTGTGGAAATTGGGGGGGGGGGAGCAGCCTTGATTAATGTCCTTTCACATAATGTCTCTCATTATCATTTCTGGCTGCTTGTGGAATATATAACGGCAACTAAAAATCTACAGCAGTTTTCTAGTTTCAGAAGCTTGTAAGTTCTTAGGCAAGTTAAGCCTGAAACTGGATTTGAAATGAATCCAGGAGATTGACTTGTGTTTCCTTTCAAACATGCACGCTTGGAAGGGTAAACACAGATTACAATCTTATGCTCTTTAAATTGGGAAAAGCTCCGTTGATCACAATGGAATTTGCTTCTGGCTTCAGATGCAGGATATTCAGTGTCTGTAAGGGACTGCTGCTCCTGCTATGTATAGTTTATGGCTGCCGTTGTTTCACACATCTGTCCGTTAACTGTCAGGCTTTAAAAGTTTGACTATTACTTTCAACTTTCTGCTACACACGTTTTGTATGTTGTTTTAAGTTTCAGTAATGTGCCTTCTGATTTGCACTACTCTTTGATGCAAATCATTTCCAACCACTTCCTTATTTCTCCTGGCTTCTGTTCCAGAGCTTAAATGTTTCCTTCACAACAGCAGCATTTGAAGGCCTAGAGCCCATGCCTTGGCTGCATGATGGCCATGTCTGAAGAGCTTGCTTCTTTCAGACTACAGTTCCTAGAATTCCATAACTAGCAGGGCCTTGCTGTCTGAAGGATTCCGAGAACTTGTCATCCCCCCAAAAAGTAGCTTTTCTAAGCTCCAGATGTACTTCCTTTTACATAGCAAGCAGTTTGTGTGTGTGTGTGTGTGGTGATGTGTGTGTGGTAATGTGTGTTTGTGTGTATGTGTGTGTGGTGATGTGTGTGGTGTGATGTGATGTGTGTGTGTGTGTGTGTGTGTGTGTGTTGATGCCCTCTACTCTACAATTCAGGTCATTTTCCTCCAGGCCACCACAGTCCCTATATTTCAAATAGGTGTTTATGGAGGAAATAATCTCAGCTTCTGCACAGAAAAGGTTCACTGCACAGAGATGGAGGCTACAGGATGCATAGTGGCTTTCCTTTCAGAATGAAAATTCTGATTTTTCTCCTCTAATTTTGGCTTTAAAACAATGTTCTTAAGTCACACAATCTGAAAAACAGGTTGACATTTCCCCCCACATATCAGAAAGGGAAAGCATATGGAGAACCATTGATAATAATAACAGGGGCAGGGAAACAGCGGTTGGCTCGTTCATTTTGGTGAACATTCTTTGTTTTGTAACACTGTTGCACATTTTTCTTGACCACTCACCAGCTCAGCATCAACCATGGGGCGTGCAACTTTGAGGAGAGCTACGTGCTATATGCAGTCAAGTGTAAGGGAGCCCTGGTGCTAATTTTGTAAGGAACACACACACTCTTTCAGAGGGATTTCTGAATAAAGAAACTGGGGAGATAAGAGAAGAAAGCAGCATGGAACTGAAGCAGCAGATGGAGAAGAGGATTAAGCATCCCTTCTCCCTTCTTTTTCACCAAAAAGTCTCCCAACCAACTAAGGTGCTCAGTTTTGTATGCTTTTTCTCTTCCCAATACAGTTTCTGTTTTCTTAGAGGACAGTCACCCTCCCTGTAGATGCTCCCTTGTAGGAAAGGAAGGCAGAGTTCCCAGAGAATTGTCTTGTGCCTTAGTTAGCCAGGCTGCATTGCATCTAGCCCTTGGTGTGAACATGAAGCAGCCTTCCTTGAGTACACACAGAGGTGTGGGTGTGGCTTGCACCATGCTAAGTCTTTAATGTGCCTGCCAGCTCACAAAGAGACCAAGCTTTTTCCCATGAGGGGGTGGGAAAGCCCTTGGTCTGTTTGCCTAAATGCTACTGATGTTCTAAACCAGAGGCTGGAAACTGGTGGCTTTTCTGATACTGCTGGATTCCCGAGGCTATCATCCCCATCCTGCATGGGCAATGGTTGAGAATGATGGGAGTTGTAGTACAGCAATATTTGGAGGGACAGGCTCCTCACCTATTCTAGACACAATGGAAGTCAAGCAGCTTGATTCTGGGCTAGAATTTTATATGTCCAGTCCCATGTTGATCTTCCTATTATTCTACTTCTCTTTCATATTGATCTACATAATTAATCGGAATGTAAATAAATCAATGTAATTAATTGGAATGCAAATAAATAAAATAAACAGTTTGCCATTCTAGTTAGTCTTTAAAAAACAAACAAAACAAACCAAAAAAAACAGAAAAACAGAATTCTAACTCCTGTCCTCTGAAGATGCCAGCTACAGAGACTGGTGAAACGCTAGGAAGAAAAACCTTCAGAACAGGGCCAAACAGCCCGAAAAACTGACAACAACAACAACAACAAAACACTTCTTCATTTCCAGAACTTGGCATATGTATCTACATATGTTTTGAAAGGAAAAGGGGAATTGAAAAAAGGTGCCCAGAAAACTGAGCACAAGTAATTCAAAGAATGAAGTACAGAAAATAAGAAACAATTGAAGCACACAGGAAATCTTATGATTGACATATTTGGGAAGGGGGGAAGAAAAAGAGGTTCTATTTTTGCTTCAAAGATGCTTTGCCTTTTCTTATTGATCTAATCTTTTCTGTTTCCCACTGACAACAAATCAGCATCAGTTGTTGCGCCAGTCTGTGCAAAGCAGTCTTAACAGGTCTCGTCTCATAAATGGCTTTGCCAGGCGTCCTCATCCACTCCACATCTTGCCACTCCCTTCAGGAATTGTCAAAGCCTGCAAGTTAGCACTGCAAGCTTAAAACACATGTTTAAAATGGAACTTCTGCTTAAATGCATTTTTCCTTGTTCACACTTTTCTGGCTGGTAACACTAAGACTGACCGCAATTTCTGTCACCTACGTTTGCAAACATGCCACTCGGTAAAACAAAAACCTGTCCCTTTTCAGTAAATGACTTTTGTGGCAAAAAGTAACAGGATTCCTTCCACCTAACTCCCTTTTTATGATGCTACGATGTCAGTGATTTAAAAAAAATAAACTAAAAGAAAATAACTAGTGCAAATACAGGTCTCTGAAAACAGGCTGCGCATATTCACTGACAGAAAGCAAAGCCATCCGATAGCCCTGAAAGCAGTGTTAAATGGAAGCATCCTTTCCTCTCACTTCATCTTCTGAAATTGTGTTCAAAAGTCTACCAATCAGGAATGGCTGAAGCTCCCCTGCTGCTTGAAGTAGGAAACGAAGAGTTGACCCCAGATATGGTATGAGGGATGCTACTGCCTCCACATCACTTCAGTTACCATGAATATCCCTAGGAAACCCTTGCTACACTGCACCAGAGAAGAAGACAGTGATTCTAGTGGCCGTTTTGCTCATTCCAACCACTAGATAAGGAAGAGGAGCAGCTCCTGCCTCTTAAGGAAGAGTACCTCACTGGGCCTCATGGTAGGGCCAGCCCTGCTACTATTTACCACTGTGGGGATCTCTTTTAGTTAGACTTACACACACATTGACACAGAGAGCTAGGACATTGCTCTCGTATAACCCAAATTTGCATTTGGCAATTTATATGGAAAGTGTCAGATCTATGGTCAATTATTATTATTTACATACATTACAGTGCAATATCAACATACTGGGATGCGCCTGCCCATGTGATCGAGGTTGACAAGTAAGATCAAGACCCCTTCTTAGGGACCTTCATCTTTAAACAAGCCTCAGTTTGATTAGCTCACCAAATAAAGCATATTGCACCTTCCAACAGAGGCAGAAGTTGGGTATGGCAGCCCTATGGCAGTGGGATATATGTGATCAACCCCCTCCCACTTGCTGAAATGGGAACACAAGCGTGTGTAGCAAATAATTCGATTTTTCCATATAATCCAATACTGTCAGCTTTGATTTGCACCAGCTGTCCAAGGTTTCACACAGGATTCTTTCCCAGCCCTATCTGGAAATTTCTGGCTGTCCCCCATCCAAGTACTAACCAGGCCTGACCCTGGTTAGCTTCCAGACTCAGTCAAGTTCAGCTGAAATGGGAACACAAGCGTGTGTAGCAAATAATTCGATTTTTCCATATAATCCAATACTGTCAGCTTTGATTTGCACCAGCTGTCCAAGGTTTCACACAGGATTCTTTCCCAGCCCTATCTGGAAATTTCTGGCTGTCCCCCATCCAAGTACTAACCAGGCCTGACCCTGGTTAGCTTCCAGACTCAGTCAAGTTCAGGTGTGTTCAAATTTCTGGCTGTCCCCCATCCAAGTACTATCCAGGCCTGACCCTGGTTAGCTTCCAAACTCAGTCAAGTTCATGTGTGTTCAGGGTATTTTAACAGAGCAAGTATTTCTATTGGCATATGCTGGAGAAATACATCTTCAGCAGTTTCAGTGCTGCATGCATTTCGAATATGACACCTGTTTTTTCTGGATGTTTGTATTCTGTCCAAAAAAAAAATTAAGGGTAGTTTTGACTGAAAGTAATAGCAATGCACCTGCAAAATCTTGCATTTTCACTGAAAATGTTTGCAGCCAAAGGAAGAAAACACTGGTTCAAAGCAGGAATCAAGGCTATTTATTTCAAGACAGCTTATATACTGTATAATTCAACACGCTGAATGTGTTTATAACATTTGTCTTTCTCTATTCCTTAATGGATCTCAGGTCAGTATATACTTTTCCATTTTATCCCCACAGGCTCTCCCCCCACCACACACAGGTGAATACTAGTTGGAAAAGGGAAGGTCTTGGGAAGAATATACAACTCTGGAATCATCTGCAAAGTGATCTTCCTCTTCAAGATACATAGGGTACGTATCTGTGTATGGAAGGTATGAGACTTTAACTCACTTCTAGATTTGAGAGTTAAATGTCCCTACAGGTCCCCATTTGGCCAGAGAGTAAAACTGATAGAGCTGGTGTTTCCACAAGAATTCTGTACTTAAGAAAAACATGAACTGGAGTGTCTCATGAGGAGTAAATTTAATTTCATCAACGCATATAAAAAATGGCATTCTTGCACCACCAATCATGCGATGAAAAGGCAAATATTTTGGCACTATCTTGTGCTTCCAGACCCCAGCAGGTGTTTATGAGTTTGATTTTAAAAAAAATACTAGCACACCAGACAGTCTGCACATGATATGATCTATAAAAAGGAAGTTAAATACATGCTGAGCAGTCAAAGCACTCTCTTTGTCTTGTGATATCCATGGATGGCTCTTTAGAAATATTTCCTGTTGCAGGGATATAAACACTTTATTTAATATACTACTATATACTAGCTCATTGCTCATCAAATAGTGGGAATGTGGCCAGAAAGATGGACTGTAGCTGAATAAGTGGGTGAGTGCAAAGCTAGCTTTCCTTCTTCTCCCCTTTCCTTCCTTAGACCTTGTCTTCTTGGTCTCTTGGGACCACTGTCTTCTTTGTCTGCTGCTCCCTTATCTGCACTTTCATTTCAGCTTTCTTCTTCCTCTTACATCTTTAGTACTAGGCTGCATATCTACAGCCATGTCTGTGAGGTGATCAACACATCCCCCAACTCTGAAACCTCTACCTTTGCTTCAACAAGTCTTGGATTGTTCTCCTCAGGATGCTGGAACATTAGGGAAAATGAGTGCTGTTCCATATGTCCCAGGCTACTCATCTCCAACCCATTTGCATTCTTATCCTGCAATTGCTTGAGGGTCAGAAGGTAAAAACAAACGACATGGATTTCTCAGTGGTGGCCCCCTGCCCTTGGGAACACAGGCATTCCATGGTCCAGGCACAAAGGCATCTCTCTTGTGGTCCCAGCATGTGCTTCCTTCCCCTGCTAAGACTCTGAAGCTGGCCCCTTGCTTTAGAATGTTGTCTTCTGGGCTGTTTTCCTGCCACAGATTTTCCATTTGCTTTGGTATTTTAACTATTTTATTATTTTTATTAATTCAAAATCTGCTATTACAGTCACTGTAATTTTTTTTCATGCTGAATTGCATTTTATTGACCTATTTTGTTTTTCTTGTATCAGTCTTTCACTGTAATATTGCAGACCGGATATAATTAACAAGATAAATGTAATAAATAAAGAAATTGGCAACAAAAAGCAATGCATTGATTCCAAGTCAGTTAAAACACAGAGTGAACAACTTCTGTAAAAAGGGGTGGCTTGTTA